ACTACCTCTGTGATGTTCTATTAATGTCATAAACTGATGTTTGTACATATGTGGCATGTTTATCTCAGTGAATATATCTCCTACAGTAGCAGCACATATTTTAGTGCCATCTCTCTTTAGATTTTCTAAGACTTAGACAGTTGCCTAATAGGACCTAAAGCATGTTCATTTGTATTATGCTCCTTGTGGTCTGTCCATATATCTGTGGGTAGAATAAGTTTTAAAATCAAACCAAAGTGGTTCCAAAGTGTGGCTGGTGAATAAAAAGGAAGCAAATTTGGAAAGTACTATGAGGGGGCAAAAGATTTAAAAATCTATAAAACAATGAGACTTTCTTTTTTTTTAATTTTTAAAACTTTATTCAGGGGGCCTGCCTCTTAGCTCAGTTTTTTGGTTTTTTTTTTTGGGCGGAACCGGGGATTGAACTGAGGCTCTTGCGCTTACCAGAGAAGCACTTATTCCACTGAGCCATCTCCCCAGCTCAGTTCTTTAAGTGGCTGCTTCAACAAAGCAGTCAGGCTCAGGTTGCTGTGGTTCGATCCCCACAACTCACGCCAGTCAAACCTGCCCTGAAGGCATTTGGAGCAAAAAAAAACAAAAACAAAAACAAACGAACAAAAAAAACGTTATTCAGTATTGTCTTGACCATGATTAAAAGAGGACATGGTCTTGTGACCTCCCAGAGGGTAAATGTGTTGCAGCTCATGTGCAACTCCTTAGAGTCCTAGCTTGTTCCTCCTCCAGTGTCTCTTGGAGTTGTACCTGATTTTATTACCTGCCTTCATATGAATCCACTGAGGAATGGGGCAGTTCTGTTTTTGCTTCTTGGCTAGGAATTGTTTGATTCTGAAAGTGTCATGAGAAGACATGGTTAGGGTAGGAGGCAAGAGCATGCACTCGATGGTGGACTGAAGCAGAAAAGGAGACTTTCTTGTGGCTTAGATTCTACTAAGTCAGATAGATCTGGAATAAGAGAACAGAATTTATTGCTTTCCAAGACCACACCTTGAGAAGTAGTCATTGCTCACTTGGGTGTTTGGCATTGTAGGGCTTGAATTTTAGAGTCCTGAGGATAGAGAGTCTTTGGAGGCTGGCCAGTGTCATCTTTCCCCAGCAAAGGTGAAGCTGGTGCCGTTTCTTGAAGATTGAGTGTGTGTTGTTTACTTGTAGCATATTGGGCCTACTCAGCTCTTGAGCTGTCTCCCACAAAACACCAAAATTATAGGCTCTCTGTCATGTCACAGCCAAAATGTTTAAAGGTTTAGATCCAGAGAGCTAGATATTGGTGGTTTGGAGTGATAAGAATTGTTGCAGCCACTGTTGTTTCTATATTCCAGCGATGTCGCTTGTCTCTCATGAGTGTGCAGCTGAGTATGAGTTGGATTCCTGACCGCTCTATTGGAGATCAGTTCTGTGAAGAGTGCTTAGCACAGAGGTGGCCAGTCATCAGAGCTTGCATTTAATTCCAGACCATTGTCTGTAGCCAGTTTTGATTTTGGTTCCTAAGAGACTACTTAGTTGCCCTGGAGAAGAGGATCTTTAATGAGTAAGTTCTGCATCAGATGGGTTGAGGTTCACCCCAGGTGCTTTGTTGATACAGCCTTAAGTAATTAGTGACGGTTTTGTTCATTTCTTTGTTTGGGGATGTTTTGGTTTTGAGACAGAGTCTTGCTGTATAGTGCAGGCCGGGCTAGCACTATATAGCCTCAGCTAGTCTTGAACTTGTGATTCTCCTGCCTCAGTCTCCTAAATGGGATTATAGACTTGTACCACCACACCTGGCCAGCTAGTGACATTTAAAAATAATTTAAGCCCTAATGTTTAAATAATTCACTGAAAGATAATTACAAATATTTGTTGAGTACCTATTAAACAGCCATTTTGCTAAATATTTTCTAGGCCTTATCTCATTGAATCTTCACAGAAATTATATAAGGCAGATTATCTTGTTCCCCCCATTTACATAGAGAAGAATACTAAGGCACTGAGAGAGGCTTAGTGACTTTGCCCAGTCCCATAGCAAGTAAGGGTAGAGGGCTTTGAATCAGGCAGCCTAACCCTATATTCAAATGTGCTAATTCTGCCATAATCAAGACAAAGATTGTCACAGGTTTTAACTTTCAAGTATGTAAATACATTTCATTGAGTTAAAGAAGATGCTATAGGGCTGGAGAGATAGCCAAGCGGTCTAAGTGCCTGCCTGGCAAGCTCAAGGACCTGGGTTCAATCTCTGGCACCGCATGCCGTGGTAGGCCCCGGAAGCCCAGGCACACTATGCCAGCCTCTGAAACTGGGCAACTGGCCATGGTGGCGCATACCTGTAATCCCAGCACTGGGGAGGCTGAGACAGAAGGATCACTATGAGTCTGAGCTACGTTGTGAGACCCTATAATAAATAAATAAATAAATAAATAAATAAATAAATAAATGATTTTTTAAAGATTAAAAAAAAAGATGCTATATTTTTATGTTGCTTATATCAACATTCATGGATTTTATTTTTTAGGGCTTTATTCTGTGGGTTTCTGTTCTAACCCCAGTGGTACAAGGATTCAATCATATGCCAGCCCTTTTCTCATACTCAGCCCTGAGCTGACCCCTCAAGGGAAATTGTGACCCAGAGCCAGCTGCTGGCCTGTCTGTCTGTCTGTGCTCTCCAGCCCAAGAACTGATTCCCTCTCTGAGAAAACTGGACAGGCTCCTAGAGGCCGCTGAGAAGCTTTGATGTAGAGGTAGCAGTTGAACAGATTGTCCTTTAGAAGTAGCCAAATTTCATTTTCCAGATTGAAAGACAGACTTCCAAGAAAACTTTTCTTTTTAATGTTTTGTTCTAGCATCCAATAAAAGACCCAACTTCAGGTCCAGGTTTGAGAGTTTCTCAAGGCTATTCTTGTTCTAGGTGGAGGGCCGTTGGCCCCCTCTCAGATGGCATGTGTCTTAATAGCTGGATGGCTAGCCAGGCCGGCCTTCACTCCCTCCTGCTGGATTTGGAGCAGAAGTCCACTTGACAGCTGCTGGGCACCTCCCAGTAGGCTCACTAGGGTACTTTAATGTCACTTTGTAACAGACCTGGATTCATCCCAACCTTTGTCACTAGTTTACTAACATTGTGACTACTTGCAGGTTATTTTGCCTCTTCCCCCACTCTCCACTCAGTATTGAGGATTGACTCCTTCCTCACGCATGTTAGGCAAGTGCACTAGTGCTAAGCTACATTCCCAGCTCTCTTTTTTATTTTATCTTGAGACAGAATCTTGCCAGGCTGGCTTTGAATTTGTCATCCCTTTTTGTCTGTACCTCTTAAGTCGCTGGGATTATAGCATATGCTACAACATGGGTAGAATTTGTGAGTCATGTATTCATTTCTAAAATGAGAGTTCTAGCTAGGCATGGTGGTACACGCCTGTAATCCTAGCACTTAGGAAGCTGAGGCAGAAGGATTGCTGAGTTTAAGTCAGCCTAGTCAACATAGTGAGTTCAAGACAGCCTGAACTACATAGTGAGACCCTGACTAAAAAGAAAAAAAAAAAAAAGAGCATTATGCTTCCTGCTGGGTTAAAGTAAAGGTTAAATGAAGGGATGTATTGACATTACTAGTAGTGAGTGGCCCTGACATGTATTGTGGGTCCTTTTGAGGGTTGGTTTCAAATCTTAGTATTAATGAAGTAGTTAGAGTAGTGATTATGAAGATACTGTAGAGGATTAAGCTATGGGAGTATAATATGAAATAGCTTATTTCATGGCTGTATGACATTGGGTAATAAATAGTCTTGATCATTGTAAGAGTCAGTTTTCTCCCCTGTCAAATGGAGATAATACCGATACCCTTGTATGTTTGTTGGGAGAAGTCATCCAACTAGTACATGTGAAGCTCTTATTATAAAGGAGCCCACAGTAAGCCCGCAATGAATTATAGCTCCCTGTTAGTATTGGTGATTGTTGGTATGCTTCACAGTGTCCTGCCCTATGTTTTGTCTGGTAGGGACCCTTCTTTGTTATCACTTAGTAACTGTATAACCCACCAATTGTTGGAAGACAAAAGATGTCACTTCTTTCTAGAGTCATTGCCCCAAAGGACAGATTCTACCATAAAGGCTCAACTCTCGCATGGATTCTCTTTTTTTTTCCTCATCCTTTTGCTTCAGTTTTTCTTCTTGTCCATGTATATTCAGTGGGGTTTCCCTTCAACTAGAGGCATTTCTTAGAGTTCTGAAGCTTAAGAGGCCTAGATGTCTGAGCACAGACCTGATTTGTAGGATCTGAACCGAAGTAGAAGCCCTGTGCAGTTTTGTTGTTCTTGGGGTAATAAACAGCCCTCATGAGTATAATCTGCTTTCTTTCTTTCTTTTTTTTTTTAATTTTTATTTATTTATGTGTGTGTGTGTGTGTGTGTGTGTGTGTGTGTGTGTGGCCAGCTCAGCCCACCAGGGGGCGGGGCTGGCTGGCATGTGGTGCTGGGAGATTGAACCGTGGTCCCTGTGCTTTGCTAAGCTTGTTCTAAGTAGGTGCTTTAGACCACTGAGCCATCTCACCAGCCCCTATAATCTGCTTTCTTATTCAGTGGCAGCTCGCAAGAGCCCTGTTTATTTCTCCTACTCATTTGAATAAATTGTTCACTATATGTGTGACTATACCACATTGGATCACTTCAGAGAAAAAGATAGGAAAAGCAGATCAGAAAAACTAGAACTAGAGCCCTAGAAATCATCTAGACTGCATTATGCATAATAAAGAAACAGATTCAGAGGGAAATGGGATTTGCCCAAGGCCACACAGCAAGGCACTAACAGGGCTGAAACAAGAAGGCTGGCTGGCTGGCTGCATTCAGTTTTCTTTCATTCCACAGGCTTCCATATGTTTCCACTGTTTTCTCTGTGAAAACCTAATAAATATGGTATTACTATATATTTTAGTTGAGCACATTCTTACCGGTATTTAAAATATAGTCAGTATGCCTCCTCTAAACCCTCACTTATTTATATTTTATTGTTATTTTTTAGGGTGTCAGATGCCAGATACTTTCAATTCATGGTTTCTTATAACCCTACTTCATGTCTGGTAAGTGGACAATTTAAGTGCAATCACTACTGTTTTTGTTTTATTTTATTTTGTTTTCCCCTGTTGACTTGTAAGGTATAGCCTTCTACGGGGCTGATTATGTGAAATGGCAGTTGTTCAGGCATAAAAAAACTGTTCTTTTCATTTTAATAACTGGTGTCTTGAAGCACATTTTTATTAAAGGTCAAAGCATAGGCCCAAGAAAGAAACTAATATTTGTAGGAGTTTTTCAAAGACCATCTAATTCCGTGAACAATGCTATCAGTATCTCTCAGAGACTCTGGGCTTGGATGGAAGGTTCTGTCCCTTGGCTGTTTTAGGAAAGTTCACATTTACGTAAAAGTGGTTTAAATTGTGTGAGAATTTGTGGTCATTTTCATCGCTGGTCATCAGAAACCTGTAACAAATTACAGCACTGACATTTACGTCCTTACCCCTGAAATGTGCGTGCAGGTTAGATTCATGCCAGTTTGTTGCATGTAAAAATATTTAACACTTTAAACAGTATATTTTTTCTTCAGCTGTGAAGTAAGTGGCCAAAAAAAAGCACTTTTTCATCTACTGTTACTCAGTATTAAAGGTCAGAGGGCTATAGGAGTTGTTGAAGTGGGGGCTGGGGGATGTATTTTTTGAGTTGCCAGACCTTGGGAAAGTAAATTCTGGAGAACCGCATTTACTGCTTTGACCATAGTGACTCTCTGAGGGACGTGGGGAGTGACCACCTTGTCAAAAGGGCTCTTGTTGGAGAGCTGTCAGCTGAGCCTTACATCACAGGACAACTATATGAAGACTATGGTTTTGGTTACCTCTGAAGTATTTCTTCTGAATTCACATCGTCACCAACTTTGGCAAAGGAACCTAAGGTGGCAGTTTATTTCATGTTATTTTTTTCTTAAGCTGGTAGTTTTTTGAGTGCACATTGCATCCTGGACACGTTGCTATGAACTAGGGATAGTTCCCAAGAAACCCACTGTCTTGTGGGGGAGGTAGACTTACAAAATAATCAGCTATAAACAGGCCTGGCTAAGTTCTGTACTGAATGTAAGGAATGCTTATATGAGTACAGAGAAAGGTACAACTATCAAAACCCTTCTTAGTTCCACCTCTTAGCTCTTTAAAACATGCCGTGGCTGGTAGGCAGTGGAAAAGGCCAGCAGTGTGCTTTCGGTCTTTGTGGTGAAGGTTAATAAGGAGAGGGTGCGGGGAGAGAAGCTGGGTCTGATGAGGGGAAAACTACTTTTTCAAAAGCTGAGTACTGCAGAGGTGGCACTGGAGAATTACTTCCTGGAAAGGTGGGAGGGTGAGAGAAGGCTAAGCTGTTCCCAGAGGAGCTCAAAGATAATATTCCGAGCCTGAATGAAAGACTTCTTATTGCCTATATAGCTAGAGGTATCAGAGTGGTAGAGGGAGTGGACGGCAAAATAAAATATATAATCCTTGTGACCACATCCTAAGGTCAATACCTGACTAATAGCAGCTGGGAGAACCTTGAAACTACTTGTCGTTCTTTAAAGTTTCCAAACTGTGCCTGCTGAGCTTTCTTTGCTGAGGTTGGTTACGTTTCTCAGAGTGTACCACCACCATCTAAGCATGGGAGAGGGCGGCTGCCTGCTCTAAGTCCATATTGGTGTCCCTCCATCTTCTTCCTTGCTCTCAATATTGATGAGCTGCAGGTTTGGGCACAGTGAATCAGTAGCTTTTCAGTAGCTAATTAAGAATTAGCAAACTCTTATTGATGATATACTATGTGCTCAGAATCATGGTTTGTTGAGAAAAAGGCTACAACCCGGTCTATACCTTAAAGAAACTTTAGTGAAAAACAAGTGTTATGATTTGTATCTAGTTGTCCCCCAAAAGCTTCATGCAGTTATGGGGTTTGTGAGTTCTAGAGTTTGTGATTAATTCATGATCCAGTGCTGGGATTATGGATGTGAGTGCTGCTGGGATTATGGGTGTCAGTGCTGTACCCAATCTGGGACTGATAGCCTGAATGCAACATAAGGGAGATAGACTTGCTCTCTGTTGTGATTGTTGCCACTGTTCCTCCCCTTTGCTCTTACAGTTTTGCTGTTTTCTGCTGCCATGAACTACTGTCCTCTGCCATGTGCCACTCTGTCTTGGAGGCAACCAAATGTCTACTGAAAACTCCACAGACTGAGTTGAACAAACCTTTCCTTCCTTAATTTTGGATGTTAGGTGTTTTGTCCTAGTAAGAGAGAAAAGTAACTGAGACAACAGGCATAAGATGCAGTTGCCTGTATTGGATGACAGTGAAATACTGTGCACAGGACACAAGCAAATGCTGTGGAGGTGCACAAGGAAATGTGACTAAGGGGCTGGGGAGATAGCTCAGTAGAATAAGCGCTTGCCTGGAAATGTGACTAAATGCAATTTTGGTGGCAGTGAATGTAAGGTACATCAAAGAGTAGCTATAGCTCAGTAGTAGAGTGCTTGCCTGGCATGCATAAGGCCTGGAGTTCAAACCTTAGCATCATCAACAGAAAAGTGACTGTGGTAAGGCAACAGGAAGGGTAGGTAGGATTTGTGTTAGAGAAAAGGAAGGCATTTAGATTAGAGGATGTAAGAAGCAGAGATCAGAACATGTACAATGTTTTAGCGCAGTGTTTTAGCGCAGCCAGTTGTCTAAAGAGTCTGGGGCAGGTTAGTGGAGGAATGTAGTAGAAGGGTCCCAGAAAAGTAGTTTAGGACCCAAGTGCAATCCTCCAGGAATTGGAGAGAACTCTCTCTTCTGAGGAATAGGGGAAAGGAGATTAATGGAGCTGCCACAAGTCTGTGGAGAAGTCATGTTCTTTTAGCCCTGTTCTCTTAGGCTGAAGCTCCTGGAGAGTAACTGAGGGACAGGGGGATCGAATTTACAGCTCTGGGCACTGATTGGCTGCAGATAGAAGGACTGAGGTCCTCTTGGAGGTGGACTGTGAGGGAGAAGTAGAGAGGCTTAGAAAACTGTCCTAAGTGGAAAGATTCCCGCCACCCCAAACAAAACCAAAACTCCTAAATAAAGATAGCCTTGTGGCAGGTTTTCTAAAATGTGTGCTAGATTATCAAGGGTGGTGGTTCTGTGTTAGGTCTTAGAATAGGAAGAGGATTTTTCACCTCTTGTTAGTACCCTGCAGGAAATGTTGATGTTTCCTTTATCCTGTCTGTTTTTTCTGGTTTCACAGTTTCTTTGAGAATTGAGATTTAGGACCAGGACCCCCTCAGTTTCCCATAAGACCCTTATCAGTTATCTATTCGTGTGAACTTGCATTGCAGTGACATGTGTCCATTGTCTTTGTTGAACAACAGTATTAGTACTGACTATGATAGCTGAAAAAGTGCCTGCTGTCTACATCCCCACATGGACTTGATAAAAGCAGCAGTCCTCCTCTTCCTTATCTTGGCCGTTGACATTGTGAGTCCATTCAGGCCTCCATCCCAGAAAGCTGAGAGTTCTCCGTTAGTCCCCCAGTCGCCTGATGAACACTTTCAGCCATGAACTTAATGGCAAATGCATTTTACTTTGTGACCCAGAGCACGCACACATCTGATTCAAAAGGTTTCTCAAATACTGTCTTTACATCTTTTTTGTGTGTGTGTTTTTGAGACAGGGTCTCACTATTAAGGTCAGGCTGGTCTTGAGCTCACTTTGCAGCCCAGGCTGGTCTTGAACTCCCACATGATCCTCTTGCCTCAGCCCACCAAGGGCTGGGAGGACAGGCATGTTCTACCACATCTGGCTACATCTTCATAGTGTCAGATAGTCTCTGTTTTCTATTCCATTTGAATTCATTTTAAGTGGAAATTTATTTCACTAAGCTATACCTCCCAGTACCTGAAAACTGGCCTTTGGCCTCTGGCTTTCCTTTCCTTATTCCTTTTGGTCTTCTCAGTACAAATTGGATCCCCCTCCTCTCTCAAGCTTTGTAGCATGACATTCATATCTCACCATATATGGCCTGTGCTGCCTGTACTAGTTTTATTTGATGCACAAATTCTCTTTTGCATAGAATGTTCTTTTCTTTTGTCTCCATTTGACAAACTCCTGTTCCTCCTTCAATCCCAATTAAGGTATTAACTACTTTTTGAAGTATTCCCCTCCCTCTGAACATAATTCCTTTTTTATGTTTCTTTAGTATTTTTCTATTTTTAAGTTAAAATTTTAACTGATACATAAAATGATAATAATTGTATATATTGGGGCCAGCGAGCTAGCTCAGTGGACTAAAGCACCTGCATAGGCAAGTTCAGGCAAGTGCTGAGATCATTGTTCAATCCCTGGCACCAAATGGCACACCAGCCAGAGTCCTGGTGTAGTGGTGCATGCCTGTAATCCCAGTGCTGAGGAGGCTGAAAGCAGGAGGATCACCACTCTGAGCTGCATAGTGAGACACTGTAACAAGCAAATACATTAAAAAATATATATATTGTACATATTAGTGGGCTGCCATGTAGTGGTTTGATATGTGCACATGTATATATATGTGTACTTTTTTTTAAGACAAGGTTGCAAGCTGGGCGTGGTAGCACATGCCTGCAATCACAGCACTTGGGAAGCTGTGGGGTTTGAAGCAATCCTGGGCTACAAAATGAGTTCAAGGCCAGACTGAACTGCATAGTGAAACCCTGTCTCAAAAAGACAAAAATATTACCCAAGACAAACAGAAGACAGTCTCACTGTGTAGTTCTGGATGCCCTGGTCTCACAAGGAAACCTAGGTGACTCTCCATCTCTTTGAGATCCTTCTGCCTTAGCCTCCTGAATGCTGGGATTACAGGTATGCACTACCATGTCTAGCTCTTCTTTTTTATTTTATTTATTTATTTATTTATTCATTTTCTCTGTATTTAGGACAGGGTCCACAGGGTCTTACTGTATAGATCGGACTCCTGTTTTCAGCCTCCCAAGTGCTGGATTTGCAGGCAAGCACCACCAGTCTCAAGGTCTCAGTGCACCCTGGGGGCGGGGCTGGCACAGCAGGCTGGGGCTCAAACCTCCAGCAA